TTTTGGTTTATGTTTGTGTGTTAGTTCTGTTTTTGTAGGATTAAATGATGGATTGAATAAATTTTCTATCATATACAGGGAGAGCCAAGGGGTTGGTGTGTGAGTGATTCAGTCGAATTGTAGATTGGAGCTAGGGTTAGGATTGAAAATTAAAACCTAGGGTTCATTGAAATGGATTTCAAGAGAAAGTCGAGCCCTACACAAACATGGGTCGATTCTGATGACGACGAGCCTATTGGGGTGCTCTTAAAGAAAAAAAGCACAAAAAATTTCAAAAAAGCCAAGCTGATTGAAGATGGTGGTGAAATCCTAGCCAAAGGGGTCGAGAAGATTAGCCCTGAAAATGATGAACATGTTGGCATGGATGACACGCTAGCAATTTTTAGGCAAAAATTAAGGGGACCCAAAAATAAAGTTGAATCTGAAATAGCTGTTGGGAAAGAAATGAGCATAAACGGGATGGAGGCATCATGCCAGTTTCTTGGTGAGCCAATTGAGAAGGATACCCAATTGTTGGATGATGGGCCAAAGAAGAATTCAAGTGCTGGCTCAGCGTCTCCTGTTCGGATATCCAAGTCCGACAGTTCATCTAAAGATGCCAAAACCGATTCTACTTTGCCTACTGTGGGTGAAGTTTCTCCTTCAAGTTTGCGAACGTGTCCCGTGGACAGCAGTCTTGAGATGGACATGGATTTAGATCTTTCCACTAGAATACAGATTCAACGTCCATTTAGAGATCATGCTGGAAATGGAAAAGCAGCAGCTGTAGCGGCTGGACTGAAAGCTCGTGCAGCTGGGCCCCTAGAGAAAATAAAATTTAAGGAAGTCTTGAAGCGCAAAGGTGGACTTCAAGAATATTTGGAGTGCAGGTCAGGACTTAGTGTTGTTAAGTTAACTGGCTTGTTTTTCATGACTGCTATCGTTATCATTATTTTGTTTTCTTGATCCAATGATATTTTAATAGTTCAAACTTATAGCTTCTCACTTAGTATTTTATCATTTGTCTTATCACGAGTTTTTTTAAAGTATTTTCATGTTTGCTCCGACTTCTATGAGGAAACTGACTCTTCGGTGCAGAAACTAATACGTTTTTCTGAAAAGCATGCATATGGAGGAGTCGTTATAGGAGTAATCAGCCCATCTTTTTTTTTTTTGGGAATCTTGCTAATTTTCCTGACTTCTCTTCGGATTTGGATTTTGGATTCAAATGTTTTCCCCCTTTGAGACATTTATTTTATGCTTTCTATTTGTTGACCTTCTAATCATAATTGGTAAATTTCTACTAAATAATTCGACTGGTTGTTTAACCATTTTGCAGTCATGACGAGATCCATCACCTTTTGAATAGTTTCTGTAGTTGTTTTTCTGCAAACTCCCTGGGATTCAATCAGTTGATGCTTTGTAGGAACCATATTTTGAGTGTATGGAACAAAGATGTCAACCGCATTTTACTACTGGAGGACTTTGGTGTGTCGGAGGCTCCATTGGCGGGAGAAAGCAAACGTGATTCTCTGATTAGAGATATCTTCACCTTCCTCGATCAATGTGTAAGTTTACCATTCTGAATCAGTTTAGGGTGAGCTACACTTTCGTCTGTACCATGAACTACTGAAATAAGTACTTAGTTTCATCAAATAGATAGTCTACTAACTGACTAGAACATGTTTACAGAAAAATGGGTTACCCATTAATTAATCATGTAAGGGAACTACTTTCAATATGAGTAAGACTAGATGAAAATTAATTATTTGAAACCAGATAAGCTTGATGTGTTTGAAAGTGTTAGATTGTTCTATAATCCTCCTCCTTTTTTCTTATACAGTTTGTTTACCACTATTTTATTGCGTTCGGTTTCATTGTATTACTGCATCATTTAATGTAGGAGTAACTTATGTTGTGGTGAATGAAATCTGAATGAGGAATATGTAACATGGTTGCCAGAAATTCATGTTTAGTTTCTAGAATATTTCTGTTGACCAAGGAAAATAAACCAATTTCTTGGGATCACTCAAAGGGATCATAATTCAAAGTTATTGAGTTTTTGTTCTTTCTCTCAGGATTTTCTGTCAAATTTCACAAATCTAAGAAGGCATGCATACATACATAGTTAAAGTCTTCTTAAACCTGCTTAAAACTAAGTGAAATGGGACGAGTTAGTGCACACCCCTTCTCACTGTGCCCTCTGTCAAATTTCACAAATCTAAGAAGGCATGCATACATACATAGTTAAAGTCTTCTTAAACCTGCTTAAAACTAAGTGAAATGGGACGAGTTAGTGCACACCCCTTCTCACTGTGCCCTTGCCAATAAGAGTTAGCTCCATTTGAGAAAGACTGAGTGGTGCATGAAAAAGCAATTATAGAGTCATATTATAAATTTTTGGTGGTTAGGTTATAATCTCATCTTTTTTTACCCCTTTAACTGTGAGTAATATAATTCTCTTATAGGGTTGTATAAATTTCGGAGTGCTTTCTGGAAGGGAGAATATGGATAGCTACATCAAGCCTGATGCAAAGCTTCCAACCGAGGGGCGACACAGAATCAATTCTGCTGGTACAGAGGATTTGAATACAATTCCTCCCAGTAAAGATGAGAACCACAAAACTATTCTTGATGCACAGCCAGATTTACTCAGCCCCGAGCAAGCAGTGTGTGGTAGATTGTCAGACTCCATGGACGAACCATCTAGTCATGCACAGTATGATTCTAAACAAAAAAGGAATATAATTGTTATAGGGGCAGGTCCAGCTGGCTTAACTGCTGCACGCCACTTGCAACGCCAAGGTTTCAGTGTTACGGTGCTCGAGGCTAGAAACAGAGTAGGAGGTCGCGTTTTTACTGACCGTTCATCTTTGAGTGTCCCTGTAGATCTTGGAGCTAGCATCATTACAGGTGTGGAGGCTGATGTGGCTACCGAAAGAAGGCCTGATCCTTCATCATTGATCTGTGCTCAGTTGGGCCTTGAGTTGACTGTGTTAAACAGCGAATGTCCGTTATATGATACGGTGACAGGAGAGAAAGTTCCTGCAGATCTGGATGAAGAATTGGAAGCAGAATATAATGGACTACTTGATGACATGGAAATCCTGGTTGCTGAGAAGGGGGACCATGCGATGAAAATGTCTTTAGAGGAAGGTTTAGAATATGGGCTCAAAAGACGTCGTATGGCCCAATCTGATCGAGATGATATGAATACTGTACCTGTTAAATCTCAAGAAGCTTCTGGTTTGAGTCCTCTTGAGAGGAGAGTCATGGATTGGCATTTTGCTCACTTGGAGTATGGTTGTGCTGCTTTGCTTCAAGAAGTTTCGCTTCCGAACTGGAATCAGGATGATGTCTATGGAGGATTTGGTGGGGCCCATTGTATGATTAAAGGAGGATACAGTGCTATTGTCGAATCTCTTGCTGAAGGAATTTGCATTAACTTGGACCATGTTGTCACAGACATTACATATCATGCAGATGATAAGTTGCATAGGAAGGTTAAAGTTTTAACTTCGAACGGCAAGGAGTTTCCGGGGGATGCAGTCTTGGTGACAGTGTCACTCGGGTGTTTGAAAGCCGAGAATATTAAATTTTCACCCCCATTGCCTCATTGGAAACACTTATCCATCAAAAGGCTTGGGTTTGGCATTCTAAACAAGGTTGTCCTGGAATTTCCCGAAGTCTTTTGGGATGATGCCATCGATTACTTTGGTGCTACTGCTGAAGATAGAGATGAGCGAGGTCGGTGCTTTATGTTCTGGAATATCTCGAAAACAGTCGGTGCGCCTGTTCTTATAGCTTTGGTTGTTGGTAAGGCTGCCATAGATGATCAAAGTACGAGTTCTTCTGGTAATGTTAGTCACGCTTTACTTGTTCTTCGGAAACTATTTGGAGAAGATAAAGTCTCTGATCCAGTTGCAGCAGTAGTGACTGACTGGGGCCGAGATCCTTACAGCTATGGTGCTTACTCGTATGTTGCTGTTGGATCATCAGGGGAAGATTATGATATTCTTGGAAGACCAGTGGAGAACTGTTTGTTCTTTGCTGGTGAGGCCACGTGTAAGGAGCACCCGGACACTGTTGGTGGGGCAATGATGAGTGGGCTTCGAGAGGCCGTACGCATTATCGATATAATGAATACAGGAACTGATCATATTGCTGAAGTTGAGGCCATGGAGGCTGCAAGAAGACATTCAGATATTGAGATGAGTGAAGTAAAGGACATTATCAAGAGGCTTGATGCTGTGGAGTTCTCTAGTGCTTTGTATAGGAAGTCTTCGGATGGGTCTCGAGTTTCTAGCTGGGGCTCGATGCTGAAGGATATGTTCTTCACTGCGAAAACTACTGCTGGCAGATTGCATCTAGCGAAAGAGCTGTTAAGCATTCCTGTTGGGTTTTTGAAAACGTTTGCTAGTACAAAAGAAGGGCTCAGCACCCTTAACACATGGATTCTGGTAAGTCATCTATTTTGGTGGTGCCATTTCAGATTTCTGTGATGAGTTATTGCTGTATATCTTTTGGGCAGTTATTGATTGATTGTTTGAACTTTTAACAGGATTCCATGGGGAAGGATGGAACTCAACTTTTGCGCCATTGTGTTCGTCTACTTGTACTTGTTTCAAATGATCTTGCTGCAGTCCGCTTATCAGGTGCTTGCATGGTTCCACTATCGTTTAGCACTCTTTCTATCTATTTTCTTCTCCTCTTAGTTTGGGTTGTCTTATTTGCCTCTTTTGTCCTGAGTTTATTTGTATAATAAAATTTATAGGGATATTTTCTTTCTTGTATTTTCGTTAGATCTTTTTCTTTATTTTAAAAATGAAGAATGAAAGTGAAGCTCTAAAACCATCAAGAAGCTAGTTTTTAGCTACTGTGAGTTATTCTGCTGCCACTTATGAGGGAATTTAAAAATTTTAGGTCGTAGAGGAACAGTTATTTGCCAACATGATTTTGATTGAGCTCTTTATTAAAGGACTGGCAATAATTTCTTGCTTCTGATTCATTTCACTCAGGTGTGGGAAAAACTGTGAAACAAAAGGTCTGTGTGCATACCAGTCGCGATATACGTGCCATAGCCTTTCAGCTTGTGCGCGTGTGGGTTGAACTTTTCCGTAAGGAGAAGGCTTCTAAAGGAGGGCTTAAGTTACTTAGACAGTCAAATAGTCTGGATTCGAAGAGCAAGTCCCCACTAGCTTCTAAAGGAGGGCTTAAGTTACATCAGCTGCACTCTAGTACAAGCAATAGAAAAATGGATAACGACCCCATTAAATCGGAATCAAGAATCCTCCCGAACATGGAAGAAGATGGTCATGAAGTTCCCGTGTCTGAAGAAGAAAAGGCTGCCTTTGCTGCTGCAGAAGCAGCCCGTGCTGCAGCCATTGCTGCTGCCAAGGTTTGCTGTTATTCTTTGTTCTTCACTCTAACCTCGTATTTTCAACATTTTCATATCATATTAAGGTTTTTGTTGTGTTTCAGAGGTTCTTGAAAATCCACAGCCTGTCATTTGGAACATTTTATAATCACTCCTAAGAATTCCTTTGCGTCATCAAAGATGAGATTGCTTTCTACAGGTGTCAGATAAGAACATGTTAAACGTTTTTGGTTTGCATTGAAATCTGTAGCCCTTTTCGTCACGTTATATATATATATGCTTTGAAGTGGTTTTCTATCTGTAATATGTTGGCCCCCTTATGCTTTTGGAATGACTTGAAATTACTTTGTGTTCACTGTTATTGATTTGAGGTTAAATATGGCCTAGGACATACTTATCTTCCATTTTATGCTTTTTTTTTTCCTTGTTAGATAATGGAGTCTATTTTATGCCATGCTGCATGAATTCATTTCTCAACTATTGCTTTGTGTATTAAAGTTTAAATCCTTGAGGCGAGTGAAATGAATTACTTGTTTCTTTATATTCATTTTTATTTTATATTGGACTTGGCATATGAACACAGCACACTGAATTTAGTTATACATGTACTTCTCATTCCCTGTGTGGTGTGGGTTTTCCTTCTATTTCACTTCTCACCCTTTTCCTCAACTGCAGGCATTAGCTGCATCTGGTGCCCGGAATGCTTCACTACAAGCTCCCAAGATTCTCTCATTTCATAAATTCGCCATGCGTGGGCAGAACACTCACATGGACGAGCCCGACATTAGAAAGCATTGGCCCGGTACAGCAATAGGAAGGCAAGAGTGCTTATCTGAAATAGATTCGAGAAACTGTCGGGTGAGAGATTGGTCTGCTGATTTCTCTGCTGCCGTCGATAACCGATCACAGAAGACCAACTCAAATGAGATCTCTGCTAGTCGTCAGTCAAACTTCAGAGAACACTCTGGAGAAAATGTCACTGTGGATAGCAGCTTTCTTACTAAAGCATGGGTCGATAGTGCTGGTAGTGAAGGGATCAAAGACTACAGTGCAATCGAGAGGTGGCAATGCCAGGCGGCAGCTGCTGCTACTTCAGGCTTCACTCATGGCACGATGCAAGTGAAGGATGAAGAGGAGTCGAACGTGAGCTCAAGGAAGGATGAGCCACGCGCGAACGAGAGGTCTACTTCACAAGTTACGATGAACAAAGTGTCGAAAGGTGGTCAACAAACGGGATCTGACCGTCTCAAGAAGGCTGTTGTGGATTATGTGGCCTCATTGCTCATGCCTCTTTATAACACGAAGAAAGTTGATAGGGATGGTTACAAGTCAATCATGAAGAAAGCTGCCACCAAGGTTTTCTTGTTAACTTTTATATTTTCTTTAGTTGTCTTTGTTGTTGTTGTTGTTGGAATACATTTTTTGTGTCTTCTTGTTGATTGATATTCTATTTCAGGTCATGGAGCAGACTACCGATGCTGAGAAAGCAATGGCTGTCCACGAGTTTCTTGATTTCAAACGCAAAAATAAGGTGAGTGTGCATCTTATATTGACTACATTCTTGAATCATGTTGTTTTATTATTTTTTTCAACACTTTCTGATATTCTTTTTCTCTATTTTCTATCCGTTTCTTTTCTTAGTTATGCTTCTCTTTCTATGAATGTAATGATCACAAAAAGACTGTTTTGGTGTATTTTTTATACGATCCTATAGTCAACCAACATAGAAGAAAAGATGTTATCTGGAAGTTATCAACATAGCCTTTTAGTCCCAAGCAAGTTGGGGTAGGCTAGAGATGAAACCCGAGAGAACCAATGGTAAGAGAAACACAAAAAGGGCTGAAAAACAAAGGAAGAGATTGGAGCAAAAGAGAAAGGAGAAAAAGTCACGGTTCTGGAAGTTATCTTACGTGCAATTTCTTGATTCGATTATCGTATGGGAAAAATTTACTTTTTATTTTTCTCTTCCATCACCGCTAGTCCCTTGTTTTTTCTCTTTGTCCAAAATCTCCATATCCAGAGCCTTTGGACTGAAATGTAATGGTCTGATGCTCTACTCTTCTATTGTATGGCGGATTAATTTAAACCGAATTGTGAAATGTAGTTTTTGTAGTGTACTGAAATGTAGTGTACTGTAGTTTACTCTTAACATTCACATGGAAGAGAGTAACATTCAGCACATTTTACTTTCAATAATTTAAAATTTTGCATTTTTTTTTTAAATTATCCACTTTTACATGCTATGAAAACTTTTCAATCAATGTGACTCATGACTGCTTGTTTCTGTTTCATTTGTTCCCTTCTTATAAGCTGCGCTCTCTCTGCCTTCTCTTGGTTGATAAAGTTACTTTACTAATGTTTCCTTTAAAGTCCTAATTTTTCAATTTTTGTTTTACACTTCTGACAGATCCGAGCATTTGTGGACGTGCTGATTGAAAGACACAAGGCAGTGAAGCCAGATGCCAAAGCAGGATCTTCTGAGAAGGATTAATTGGTGGTTCTGTATGCAGGATTAGACGGCTGTTCGACTTCTTAACTCTTTGGTCGAAGCAGTCACTTAAATCCTCTTCCTTCTAAAGCTTGAAGAAATACCCCTATAGTTTTTGGCCTAATGACTATATAATGACATATTAGCAAAGAGCTCAAAAGTACTGTTTGCAGATCATAGCAAATGCAAAACAATCCTGCAAAATGGGGTTGCTTTGTCGAATTTGTTTATTTTTAATTAAAAGAAATGTATTTTGTAGGGTAGAAAGTAAAGACCTAACATTTTTTACCTGGGCTTAGAAGAGAAATGATTTTTTCGGTGCTTTCCTGACTTTGTGATTATGTACAGTGTAGATTTTGGTTGCCGAAAGCAAATATACATGATTCTTCTTCAGGAGCATTACTTGCTCTTATCTTTAGTTTTATTTTACTCTCTCGGGGAGAAGAGTTGCTGTCTAACTAACAAGTTTCAAAAANAAAAAAAAAAAAAAAAACTTGATTTTTTAACATGGCTTGACTGTTGGTATTCCTCGGTTTTAAATCCGATTCTGGAATAGGTATGAACCTCTCTTGTCACCATGGTCATGTGTCTGAAAGGTAATTCGACTGATTTAATTACCGACCTCGTGAAGAGTGAGATGCTGTGTGGTTTATGTGCTTCATGATCACTGTCTTAGTGCTCCACGAAATGAAATTTTCATCCAAATGACATTTTCATGTTGCTGGTGGTGATATGAATCTGCATGATTTGTGTTTAGATGGCAGTGAATAATCTTTCAGATTGATGTATGTGCATCATATTCTTGTTGAATTTGTATTTATATGTGAAATTACCTTAGAAGTGCAGATTATCTGAACTTCACTAGGTTGATGATAATCCTTAATTTATAGTCTGCTCCATCTAACTTCCAGTGTTCTTACATAATCGTCAGGCATGATCTATAATCTATATAGGTTGACCCACACATGTGAGTAAAGGCTCCGTTATTGTTACAGAGGTACATTTAATTCCTATGGGTGTGTTTACAATTTTTTTTTTTTCTGAGACAGGTATTTCAATCTTATGGTTGCAATTTTACATTTATAGTTCATTTTTTGTTTATGTTATGGCTAGCCTCGATATGTCTAAACATCTTCATTTGACTTCTGGTAGGCTATAGCACAATATGGTCAATCTCTGGTTCAATGCTCCCAGCAGAACCAAGAATTTAGGTAAATTGCTCCCTTTTGTTTTCCTTCTTTCGGTTAACCTTTTTTCATTTTGTTATTTTCTTCAAGCTTCGGATGATTAGTTAATAAGATTCTATTGGTCTGTGGGTGGTGATGTAAGCTATTTTGGTTCTAGCGAAGTGATGTCATTTTGTGAGGTAAACTAACCATATTTTGTGTGAGACCGTCTTGTAGCTATGCATTTCATTGCAGTTGCTGATTGGATTATTGACTATCAAGGGTTTTTGAGGACTGTCGTGAGTCTTTGTGAAGTGAAACTGAAGTAATTTAAGGCTGATTAGAATTTCTGCTTTAATCTTTTAACTTGTTTTGTGTCGATAGATATTCTTGTAATCGGTGAAGAATTTTGATATTTTCCATCACTTGAGCTTTTATATATGCTGCAGCTACAGGTTTATTTCATGGCAATCATGATTGGTCATGATAAATCGAGATTATGATGGATAAGTCACGCCCATTGGACTTCTGTCAAGGACGGGACTGGCTACGTTTATTTTGAAAAATAATTGCCACTAAATTTAACCGTGAAAATGGTTGGTGTTAGTTGCATCGTGAAAATCTTTTTCCAACTAATTGTCTTAGATTCGACTTGGAGCATGTCCAATTGCACATTGTCCATTTTGAAATCTAGGAAATAAAAAAATTGTGTCTTTAATAGTTGATAATGATTGTAATATAACTTTACATGTGTAAGATTTTAATAATGAACATATGATTTATTAGGCCATGTATTAATAAAATAGAGAAATCTATGCCCAATTGGAGATGCTATTATTTTCCCTTTTGCTTGTTTCTATTTTGATCAGTTTGCCACATTGATGTGATTATTAACATCGGTGCATGTGAATTTATGGAACTAATGGGCACCACAACAATTTGAAATCATAAAAAAACTCGAATTATAATGAATTAAATGACACTCATAGTATAATCTCTAAATATTCCTTTGATTATTGAATTAAATTATATTACGAGTACAATATTTATTTATCTTGGTTATTCATTTGTAATTAGTAGCTATTAACTGATAGTGGATAGATAATTGCATTAATAGATAGTTGATAATGGCTTGCAGCGAATGAATAATTGTGTTAGCAGATAAGTGACAGCGAAACGTAATAGTCTATTTGACTAAACACACTATATTAGTTGTTTGTGAATAATTTGTTTTTGTAAACAGCAAATTGTGTTAGCAGTTCAAGGCCCGTTGATCACGAGCGGGTTCAGGACTGGTTTCGGGCCGGTTTGATTTGGCCGGATGCCGAGTCCTCAATTTTAGTGAAGGTTTCTACTTTTTAAACCAAATTCCTCTGTCTCTCTAGATCCAATCTCCGCATTCCAATAAATCGAACATGTCGTCAACCTTCAGCGGCGATGAAACGGCACCGTTCTTCGGCTTCCTCGGCGCCGCTGCCGCCCTTGTCTTCTCCTGTAAGTCATGATTCTCCGGCCAACCACCGCCCCTCTTCCCTACTTTTCAGATCTACGCTTTT